CAGGCAAAAGCAGGGGCAGAAATCCAGTCCTCTGTGACTCCAACATTCCCCTTCATTTCACTGAATGTAGCGAATTGATGAATCTTCTGAGAGCATCTTTCTCAAAAGCTCCTTTAGCAACCCCATCTGTCCCCCCTTGCCCTGTGGCATCCCAGTACAGACAATTCAATTTTTGTTAAGTATCAATGCCTCTCCCATGATGTTTCTCTCTTGATAATCCCCCCCTCATTTTTTGCTAATTTTCTTTTAATTGGCTTTGCTTAATTCATGAGGTCTTGGGGGCCACCAAACTTCTTGGCTGTTCTGAGAAGGAAGCCTAGAGATCCCTCCCATTGTATGTATGGCAGCATTGCCTCCAGGACTTTCAAGCAGTTGTTATTTCAAGTCTTTTGGCTAGCTTGGAGATTGTAGGAGGGGATATTTTGGGGAGGCCCCCACAACAAGTGCTAGTAGGTTCAAGTGACATCCCAGGAGCCAAGGGTAAGAGTCTGGATTATAGAAACCAAAACTATGAGCATGATCACCTTCTTGTGGTTGGTTGCCCATGTAGATGTTTGTATGTGCAAAACAGGAAGTGGTGAGTTCTGCTGTTATGCCTTGTATCTAGATATCCCCTTCAAAGCTTCATGCAGTAATAGGTGGGGCTTTTCAGAGGTGGCTGGTTCTAGGGTGTGTGATGTGGGGATTGAAGATGTGATGCTAGGATTAAAGATATGAGTGTTACCCACCCTAAGGGTGGTTAACTTCGATAAGATATAAAAGACCAAAAGAAGGTTGTTGCTTGTCACTTGCTGCATGGATGCTTTTGCTGCCTTCTGCCTGCCTGGATCTGTTTCTCCTCTGTGATGCCCCTCTGCCATGCCACCCTGCCTTGGAGCCAGACAACTATGGACTGAAACTTCTACAAATTGTCAGCCCAAATAAACACTTCCTCTTTTCAATTTGGTTGTTGAGGGTTTTTTCTGACACAGCAATGTGAAAAAGTAACTAAACAGAATTCAGTACCAGAGAAGTGGGGTTGTTGTTGTGATTGTACCTGATCATGTGCTTCAGGAACCTCTGGAACTGGCTTATGGGAAGAGTTTAGAAAGGTTTGGAGATGCCAGCTGAAGAGCCCTGGAATGCCTTAAGCTGTACTTGATGGGAGATTCTGGTCAGAGCTCAGAAGATCAGAATGGTGATAGAAATGCTACTGGTAAAGACCCTGCTCAGGAAGTTTCTGCTGGGAAGGACTGTATTGGCTGTTAGACTCGAGACAATGTGTGTTATGGCTTGGCAGAAAGTTTGTCTGGATTTTTCTCATGTCCAGAGACTTTGCCTGGGACTGAGACTAAGGGCAGTAGACGAATCTGGCAGAAGAAATTTCAAGGCAGTCTAATGTTGGGGCAGTGGCATGGCTATTGTTGGGGGCTTTTAGCCAAATTTATGTTGAGAGTCATGAGCAAAAAGCCCGGCAGAATGATTTAAAATATTTTGTATAAGATTAAAACTAGACCTGTATCTCTCACCATGCACTAAACTAAAATCAAAATGGATTAAAGATCTAAATATTAAAATAGAAACTCTGAACCAG